GCCACACCACAGCTCCCTTGGGAGAGTGACGGGTCACTCTCATGTGACCCCGTTACACGACAAGCCGCGCAACAGGATTCCAAGCATCTTGCGCAAAGACAGCTTTGTGTAGTTTTTCGCGGACTTGTTGAGGATACGCTCCGCCCGAAAGCGTCTATTAATCATTTTGACACCTGCAACGGGCCGTACAGTATAAACAAAAGCCTTGATACATGGTGTCCGCGGTACAAAGGTTAGCTTCTCCCTGGAGCAGAGCCAAAAACCTAAAGCAAATAGCTATCTACGTTGTTCGGGATTACACTGATACTCAATGTATACGATTTCCAATCTCAGTATAAAACTTGATTTACTAGACGTGCGGCAAGCAGCCCTCTAGAATATAGATCATACCTAGCGGAGTTTCATAAATACAAGTACTACTTTTTGTCTACAGAATAAACCACATTACATCATTCATCACTGAGATTCGGACTACATCGGGTTCATACTTTTTTGTGTTGTATGACAGAAAGCAATTGTGACTATTCGGCGCGCAAACACTGCGCCTGGACCCTCCAGGCATCGTATCTCTGCACCATTTGATGCCTGCTCCTTGGCACATACTTGCACAAGGAATCCCCATCAGAACACTCCATCAAGTAGCCTCAGCGATCCTCCGAAAGATGCGCGGACCCCGCGACTAACGCTTTTACATAAATACTTGGTGGAGCTGCCCGATGAGAAAGACTGAAGAGACTAACCGAGTCCCTACGTCCTCATAGAAAGATACACTTACTAGGCGTTCACTGACGGTGTCAATCTCGCGGCCCAGCCTCCCCAATGGGTGTGGTACAAACTATGGTTACATGACGTTTGCTAGAAGCGTTGCGACACATCGTCGTGAGATTTACCACGATGTCTAGCTCGTCATCAAAAAGCTGAACGTGGTTCAGGGGGCCAGCTAGCCCAACTGCAGTGCAACAATCACGTCGACTCTTGTCCAACTGGTCACTTCGAGCCTTCAGTTGCAAGCCATCTGAAGTTGCTCGCCGGCTCGCCGCGCTGGAGCAGCAGCGTTTAAAGAAATTCGTACTATCCATAATGGGTGTGCGTTAGCTACTTAAAGCTGGCAAAATTGTTGATGGGGTACCAAACTAAAGATCAACTGCCCTCTCATCCGTATCGATTCTTGTCAAGCTTGATTTAGCGCAGCTAATGTTCATCAACCTCATCGTCTCATGCTTGACGTTGCAAAGTAGAAGAAACAATTCGGATGTCGAGGTGAAAGTCTATCACCTCTTATTTTGCTCTTTGCAGCCTCGCTCGCGCCCAGACGGTAGATTTACAGCTACTGACCAAGTGTCGAATTAGGACTAAGATCGAGTTAATGCCAGGTCGTAAGCGGTCACGGCACTGGTGCAATCTCAACAGAGTGAAACCTCAAAGGAGGCTCTGACTGCGTGTGTCTTATCAATCCACCAAACATAGGAAAGGGGCTAGGCAATCTCGCCTGACCACTGAGATTTC